ATATTAAGTCTGGAAACGAGAGATTCTGTTTTTGAGAAACATATTGGGTGAAATAGGGAAGTACAGTACATTTTTATAAAACTACAGCTCGAGCTTTACATCTCAAACAGCTGAATCATGATGATGACAAAAAGTTCAGTACGACAATCTTGTAACAAACACACTTCCTATTGCCTCAGTTTAACTGCAGGAAATCCAACATGAACTAATGTGGGCGTAAAATTGCTTTTAACTTCCTTAATTTCACAACTTTTAGCCTTCGCCAGCAAACCGTCTTCACAGCAGTTCCTGGTTCAGTCTGTTTGAGTTGTGTGTTACATGATATTTTAACTACTATAAACTATAACGATATCTTTAAGTACCACATGTGATTGTTAAAGCTTATTTTTATATAAAACATCTTTCAAAATAGGTTCACAAACCACGGGCGAAAGTTTGTAGTGTATGACGGAGCTCCATGAACGGTTATTGTTTGTGTTTTTGTTTGTTTTTATTGAGCTGTTCGCTCTCAGTGTCAAGTTCTAGTTGCATGTTCTGTTAAATCTGTTAAATATAAATGATGTATGCATCACTGACAACTATTTTCCAAAATGCATCAAACTTTAAATACAGTGTCGCACAGCTTCTATCCAGTTCTTTGTGCTTTAATCAGCAAACCTTTTCATGGCAAGTGAAAGACGTTGAGCTCACACTGGTCCGCACCTCGCTGTGTGTTAGAAATGATGAAAAACTGTCAGCAGTGATGTATAATCAGGTGTTCTTTATGTGAAAGGATCCAGTTTAAACCTCAAAGCTTAGGGAATGTGGAACAAAAAACATTTAAAAATCTTCTGTGCAACAAAACAAGACTTTTATAAATAGCTACAGGTATCTTCTAACGGTTAATTTGAACTAAACTGACGACGCCCGACTATTTCCTGTCTCAAAAGTGGCAATTTTCGGCCCTCAGATCGATGAGGAACCAACAATCTGCCTACAGCTCACACTCACCTTCCTGTCTGTCTCTCTACTGTTACTATTAAAATCCCAAAAAAGCCCAGCAGCCGATCAGCTTAGAGCTCCACATTATTCAGTTTTTATTCAGCTTCCTAATCTCCTCGGGCTCAGGATGAGAGGAATGTTCTTCATGGTACACTGCGTTAAAAGATAAATGTACGTTTAGTTGAAGTGAATTAGTCCTCCTCTCTAAACCTGCTGAGTTGAGGCTTTTCAAGTTCAAATACTGCAAGATGGCCTGAAAATGTATTCACTGACGCATAATAAAACAGTCTACGTTAACCATCTGTAGTCAGGCACAAAGAGGAGAAAGTAGAAGTTTAAAAAGCGGCTCTTTGAAGCGGATGTCGAGCCATGTCATTCCAGAATAGATGTGAACCTTTAACACTTGTTCAGGGCGACATAAAGTTGAGCTTTGGGAGTTTCAGGGTTCGATTTTTGGTCCACGACTAACGATCCAAACAGTGAGACGGACGAGTTGAATCCAATCCAGGTGGAGAAACGGCTCGCGGAGTCTGTGAAGGAATTGCAACCCGACAGGACGCCGCTGAGACGGAAATCGACGGCGTGACGCCAGTTTAACGGCATCATTAAGGCGCCGCAGGTCTCAGTTGCCAGGGGCGACGTGAGGTCAGGGGTTTCCAAGCAAAGAGACGATCCAATAACATCTCAGAGTTCTCCAATTTAGTAACCAATAAAAACTGAGCAGGCTGTTTTTGTGTCATTAAAAACTGCCTGAAAAGTTTTTGGGAAAAACAAACAAACACTGGATCAGAATTCATGTTCGTGTCCACGTGTTCGCAGCCCGCGGGAAAACTCTCCGATGTGTTCCCAGGCGGGGAGTGGTCGCCAGTTCACAACCAACCTGTTCACAGAGTTATTTTCCAGCTTTTTTTTTCTCCTGTTGGCTGTTTTCAGGATTTTTTCCTCATCAGAGAAGTGAAATGTAGTTTTTAGGCACGAGCCCACGCTTCCCGCTCACAATTCCCAAAATCCACTGCTCATCCACGGGCTCCACCTGCGTTATGATGTCACCGACCTGCGGGAGGACAGAGACACAAACAGAGCAGATGTTGGTAAAGATTAAGCTGCTTTAGTTTATTTTGGTGAAAGAAAAACAGCAGCTGAAGTCACAGTGTGACAGAATTGCCTGTTTTGTTGTCACTGATTAACTTACTTACATTTATTGGCCTGAATAATTATTACATTTTAAATAAATACATCTAATCTGTGCAAACTTCCTCCTGACACACACACACACAC